CTGGGAGCCACTGACAGAGCCCAAAACACTCATTTGGCTTTGCTAAATTCGAGAAGGAATCAAAATAGCTCAAGTAGACCACCGACAAACGCACCGTTTGGTCAAGATTAACAATCAGCAAGATTAAAAACGCCCCCTTTGCTCAGTGAATTAATCCAGCTCAAAAGTTTGGCCAAACATTCAAATTCTTCACGTCTGGGAGTACCGTCGTCATTCTACTGGAACAAGCCGTAGGGAAGACTGGCTTATTTTAAAGGAAAAGGGGGAACAGATTTTGAAACCGAAGCTTAACTTTTCATAGACGCAGCTAGTGTATCACGAAGAAACACCCTCTACAAATACGCTCCCGCTGGGTTTTCATCCGAGTCACGAGCAGACTTGGAAACTGAGGGTGCCAACCAGGCCTGTGCACTTTCCCCAGTTACATACCCCAGGGAATCCCCTTTCGGGTGACTTGCTACGACAAACGGCAGGTTTTAACTTGCAGACCATTCGCACCCACAGTCCTCCAGCTGAGCCAACCGTTTCATTTAGAGCTCTGCTACGGGCATCGCCGCGACTAAAAGCAGCGTTGGAGACACAGGCCAGAGGAAGAGACCTGGCGCGGCGCCCGCGCTCTCAAAGCCCAGGGGAATTCACCGCGTTTTCGTTAGACCACCGCGCTGGACCTAAGGAAAACATCAGTGGGCGCTTCTCAAACTAACTCAACTCTTCTGCGGCGTTCTGTGACTAAACCATTTCGTCAGAAAGAGCAAGAAGCCTTCGCTACACCAAGTCGTTTGTTTTTAACAAAGAATAAATGCCGACACCTTGGTTTTTGTCAGAATCAAGCTCACGTGCAGCAATTTTGTAGGGCAGTGCTACGCAGCTACGGTCTTTTCATGTGTCTACATCTGTGCCAAAGCCCCGGCTCGGCAGTAATGTCCGTTTTACACTATAACTCCTGCAGACTGTAACCACGCTCTTTAAAAATCCGTATAATCCCAGTACTCTTCTTTTTAAGCAGCACAGCCATTTAAATCGAACAATTCCCAGTGAACCGGGATTTGGTTGGAACAGCACAAACAACAACTGTTTTTAAGAGAGGATGCAATGACTTTTCCAAAGTGAAAGTTTGAGTATCCATTAATTCTCCAGTAGGTAGTGGAGATCTGTCTGTCCTTTCCAGAAAACGGCAATGGTGACAGGCAAACCGGAGTCCGAAAACCAGATGAGTCTGGGGTTTCGGGTTTTTTTTTAGCTTGAGGTTTTCATGCTGAGCTTTCAAAGCTGATTTATACTCGGGCTTTTGATTGCCAAACACACACATGAAATAACCAGCTGTCGCTACGCTGGTCTTCAAAGTTTATACAAATGATTCTGGTATTCGTATGCAGCAGGCTTTTAATGGGAAAGCGAGATCCTTTCCAGTCTCCTATTTCCTCAGCTGCTACGCAGCCTCCACGAAGAGACGCTACCGAGAAGTAAGTTTGTGTTTATGGGCTTGGTTCTCCCATTTTCCCTGCTAGCTTTTAATAACTCAGCCAGAGCCAGTCATCCATCTCAAGCCCCAAGTCCTGGCAAAACCTCCGTGCCCAGTGGAAGCCTCGGCACCAGAGAAAATTGGAAAGCCAAACTGAGGCTGCGTCGCCCTCTGCAGACTAGCAGGGAACAACTCCCAGGGCTTCAGGCACAAGTAACTTGCTGCAAAAGAAATGGCAAAGCTGGGTAGCGCACCCAGAGGGGAAGCCTTGCCCCTGCTGGGTGCTGGGAGCTGGGTGCCGGGAGCCAGCCCCACGCCCTGGGGAAGCACCGGCTTCCTTAGCGGTGCAGCCCAGCTGCTCATGGCATGCTGGACGCAAGGAGCAACCGCGGTGGTTTTTGTTGCTCGTCTTGGCAATTTTATCTGAAAAATTCCTCTGAGTGTATTTTTTCTGTACTCGGTATTGAGTTCGGTGCAACCTATCTGCTCTTGTCGACTAACACATCTAGAAACGGCAATTCTCTTTGCGCCAACTGCTCCGGGGATGACTAAGGGAGGGAAATGTGTACGCAGCTTCCAGTGACAAAATATTAGGGATACAATCACAGCATTATCTCATTATAATGATTCCTGAACCAAAAAAAAAAAAGAAAAGAAAAGAAACGAAACAAAGAGACCAGCTTTGCAAGACGGCCACATCAGAACGGCTAAAAATCCTTCTCCGATGGCTTTCTTGTGGGAATCTACAATTAGCTGGCGGAGCGCAGCGCAACCACATGTGCGTGTGCACACGCATGCAAGCCCGTGCGAGCGTCTGCCTGCATTTGCTCGGGAGGCTCTGTAAGCCCCCTCGCAGGTCCCAGCCTTATACTAGTGGTGTCTCCTTCCCGACCCCCTTTTTTTTTTCCTACCACGGCATCAGCTAATCCGCAGCGTCAGATTTTCCACCCTGGCTCCGCAGATGCTGGGGCTCCACGAAGCCCTACTTCCACAGTCACACACATCCTCCAACAAACGGGTCGCAGGCAGGGAAAGGACAACACGACAGAGTGAGGAAGTGCCACGGGATCAAAAAAGAGGCGAAACAGGGGCTCAGGGTGCAACAAACGGAGCTTACGAACGAGGTATTACGACTGCCACCACTGTATCTATTTACCGAGTTTGCCGATGGGCATCACACGGTCAAGTTAAGGAAAGATCTGTCCCTGCCCTGAAAAGGGTAATGTCTTTACTTAAACTTTTTAAAAAACATTAAACTGTTTCTGTGAGCAGAGGTGGCAAGGCCGACACCGCTGAGGCCCTGCTGGGAGCCAAATGCACAGCTCCTTTGAGCCTCCCTCCTTCCCCATGGCGTTAAACGCCATTGCGAGACCTAATTCGGGAGACCTGACAGCTCTGAGTGTGAGCAACAGGGCTGGCAGGAGAGCAGGGGAGGGAGCTGGGCTGGGGAGACTCTAAAGGGGACAAATTTGAGCGACCTTGACAAGAAACGGTACCTTCGATGTTGGATTGAGCACAGAGTTAGCTGGCTGTGCCGGTGGGAGGCTGGCGAAGGCAGGCTCTGAGGAAGAAGAGGAGGCAGGAATGGCAACGGCCTAATCTGGAGAGGCAGCAGGACTGGGTGAAAGTGGAGAAGAAAAAAAAAAAAGTGAAAAAGTGAAGGAGGCAGGTGGAAAAATAGGAATAGTCACAGACGTCAGCCACGGACCAGCTGGAGAAACTGGGGGCAGGGGATGCTTGAGTTGAAAGTGTGAGCCCCTTGGCCCAGGCAGACAGGGAACACCATTCCTGGGCGCTGAAGACTGGTTCGTCCCTCACGCTCACGTGAATATTGGCTGGTTGGTTGGTTGGTTCATGGATAGCTGAGCCAGTAGAGCTCCTGCAGTGAATATTTCCAGTGATTCTGTACTGCTCTGTGTTCTCAGCTCTCTCCGTGCTGTGCACAGGGATGAACGACAGGCATTTGATTTCCAACTACCTATAAGGCTAGGCGGTCTGCTGCAACCTCTTGCTAACACTCAGTCCTCCTGAAAGCATCACACCAACCAAGAATAGCAGTCACCCTCATCAGGCGCAGCATCCCACCCCATCCCCGCCTGCCCCGGAGCACTTGGCCAGCCCTGAGGCCAGGAGCTTGTGCCACCTTCCCATCTCCTCTGGCACGAGCAAAACAAAGGCAACTGGGGAGGAAAACAGCTAGTACAGCCTGAGTCCTCTTTCAAGGAAGGACCCAGTGAGACTGTCAAAAAGACAAACGGGCCTCACGTCACAAGCTGAACGAGCTCGGGAGCGGGACGCGAAGGCAAAAGGCTGAGAAACGAGCCCAAGACAGGGTCGCTGCCTCGCTGTGCTAATGACAGTAAGTTATCATACTCACGTGGAGCTGTCTCCGCTGGGACGTTCCTTCGTGCAGCTGCTTTCTCCTCGCCCCTGGAGGAAGTTAATGAACTCAAACTAGCAGGCCAAAGGGGCAGCCAGGTGTGAAGCACGGCTCCGAGGCGCAGATGGCAGCAACAAACAGCCTCTTCTTGCAGCCATTATGGAGCTCTCCCCCCACGACGGGACAAAGGTTGGTTCACGGCCTGCTCCACCGTCTCTTCTTCTAGAGGCAGCAACAGCAGGAGAGAAGAATGGAGTCTGTCTTCTGCCTCCTTTTTGCTTGTAGTCTATTGAAACATTAATTAATCTTCTCGCTGGTGAGGACAGGGGAAGAAATGAGGTTACTGCAATTAGCATGCGATTCAGCTTTACAAAAGGCAAGCTACTCCCCAGGGAGGGGAAGGATTAGGTAAAGCGCTAGTAGGAGTTTGGGAGGAGGAGGTACAGGAATGAGAAGCAGGGGGCCCTGCTTGCTGGGGACGCGGGGATCAACGGAGAGGGTAGTTTTAGGGAGGCGCAAGCCAGGTTGTCTGGGGAGGACTCTTCCCCGCTAAGCTAGACAGCAGCGTGAGCCAGCCCAGCTGGTGCGTGGGAGCGGGGAGCTGCCCGTGCCTGGCCCGGCCTGGGGGTTAACCGCGCATCTGGGTGAGACGGCAGCGAGGCACATTCAGAGCAGGCAGCTCCCAAACTTTTAGAGAAAAACAGGCACACAGATCACACGCATTCAAAGAAGCCGACTGAGCAGCGGTCCTCATGCGGTCAGCACAGGGGCTGCATGAGAAAAGCCTTTCCAAACCCAAGCGTGTATTCGGGCACCTTCGTCTACGTTTTAACGCTGCGCTGACCTCATTTTCAGATGGCTCCTTCAATAGCGACTACTCCTTTGCTCTAGGCTAAGGGCTGGCAAGTGTCTACACGACCAGGGAAAGGGAATTAAAGCTGCCTCTGACATCAGCGGTTTTGGGGGGAAGTTTGCGCCGGCTCTTGGCATCGTCACTAACCCAGGCGCGACTGCGTCTGGTACATAGTCACCATCAGTCTTACAAATTTGCACCACAACTGTTCAACTGTCCTTTCCGGAGCCCAAAAGAATTCAAGAATCGGATTCATGAATCACTGAAAAACCACACTGGGAGGAAAAAAAAGAAGCAATCACAATCACAAAAATATTTTTCTCCCTCTAGCAGGCACCATGAGTACAGCAGCCGAGGTTGCGCAGTAACCACGGCAGGAAGGAGTTAGCTCTGTCCTAGTCGCTCCCTTTGCAGAGAGCCGTGAAGAAAAAGGTATGTATCGGAGACAAACCCTGACCCTTAAACTCGCTGAACTTTCCTTTTTGCTTACCAGGGGAGGAACAGGGAACAATTTTGAAGCGCGGAGGCTGCTTCGGAGGGGACGGCTGGTTGCGATCAATCGGCGAGCTGTTGTGTGCGCCAGAAAGATGGGGATGGGGAATTTTTAAGAAGACAGTGGGGGAGAAACAAAGGTTTTTTCTTCGGGGACCCGGACTGTAGTCTAGAAAGCTCTCGGTACCTCAAAGCCTCTCTCTGCTCTGCCCTGTGAAAGTCCAAAGGAGCTTTTTCCAGGGGTAAAATTATTAGAGAAAAAAAGCGAGAAAGGGAGTAGCCAGCAGCTGGAAGAGGAAGCAAACTCGGGCGATGACAAATACGTTCCAGTCAGTCATGCTCTGGCACCGTCGCTCCTGCGGCAGGATGGATGCGGCAGGAAAGCCTCCCTTAACTGGTTTCAGTTGGTTTGGGCGCAGCAGCTTTAGGGAAAGCCCGAGGAGGGCAACAATAACAACGGTCATCGAGGCAGCGAGACTCCTACCCCCCTGCCCGCCACTGCTCTCAGGGCTTCGTTTCAAGCAGCAGGGAAGAGCTCAGGGTAGCCCTTTACGCCGGCGAGGCGCTTCCCGTCTGCGTCGCGCTAAGGGAAGGAGCGAGGGGAGAAAACCGTCACGGAGGGACGGAGAGAGGGGCTTTGCAGGCCCTTCCAGCTGGCCCCAGCGGAAAGCGAGGGAGGCTACAGTGGAACGGCTGCAGCGTTTTACTGGGGACAGGGAAGTTTGTTCTGGGTGGGGAGGGAGGCAGAAATCCTCCCTCCCCCCCCCTCCGCCAACCCCCAGCCGGGACAAGGCCCTGA